TCTAAAACATATACAAGTGGATTCCCATGGACAAACCATTTGGACACGACTGTTACTGATCATGGTCGTTATTGGTCTCGGTCATTATTGATCGTGGTCATTACTTGTCCACACAAAAAAATGTCCGCTTGGACATTATTTGGACACAGTAAAACAATTTGACAGCTCTACCGGCGACGATCGATTGAAAGAGAATTCATTTCATTGAGAAATGAAACAATTTTATTTTTTTTCCAACATATTCCGTATTACTTGATTAAAACAAAAATTACCATATGAACATGTCAAAACAGTAACAAGAATGAAAACTGAAGACCTGTCTTCAAAGTTTCAAATCTCACAAATAAGAAAGAAACCATTACAACACATCCGTGTACAAAACAGCAAGAACTATTGGGCAAAAGCAAATAATTCTTACATGCTGTTGTCAACAAGGTTTATTCAAAATACTTAAAAAGAGTACCATTACATAACATACCATATAGGTTGTATGTATCCTCTTGTACTACTCCCCTGTTTTCACCATCATATACACATTATGATACAAACATCAAGCCTGTGTGGTTTCTCCGGCTGCTGCAGCACCGTTTGTTTTCACACGCTTCTCCTTGTAGTCTTTCACAGCTGCCTTGATGGCGTCCTCCGCCAACATACTGCAATGAAGCTTCACTGGTGGGAGAGAGAGATGCTTCGCGATTTGACTGGCAAAACATAATCAAAAGCACGCATTCAATTTAGGAATTCAGATATTGAGAAACTCCATGACATAAATCACAATGTTTACTATGTCTCAGATAAAGAAGTCAAGGGGGATTGCATTGAAAGAGGCTGAAAAATCTTATGTACCATACTAACCAGTTACCAGTATCATACCAATGATAGACTAAAGTCAAACGACTGAGTCCCTCAAAACAAAATACCAGTCATCCAAATACAGTAACTGATACGTCAAGAATCAAAGCATGAACCAATTAGATAACAAAAGTTACTTTGTCTTGAATAGAGAAGTCTTGGGGATTTGCATTAGCATAGGCTGCAAAACCTTATGTACCATACCAACTAGAAGCAAGTATTATACCAATAGACCAAGCCAAATAATGGTCAAGAAGAGTGAACCAATTAGACAACAAAAGTTCGCATAATGCAACAACTCACAACTGATTATGTTAATGCACACAAAAAAAATGTACAGGAACACAAGGCATCGTTACCTCAGGAAATACGTATGCCAGGTTTTATAACATAAAAATGTAAGAGACAGAGAAATGATACTTACGTGTTCTTGATGGTCAGGACTTCCTCCATAGCTTTGCCTTTCACCCATTCAGTGGCTGAAAACATAAATCAATCACCATTAGGATACTGCTACATATTCCCACTAAAAACAGAAATCCCGAAGCCGTAAACTTCAAACAGAATCAGAAAGGATAGCTCAAGTTGCACCCACATAACAATAAGCCAGAAACTGGACCAGGAAAATAAGACACTGCATCGAAAAGGGAAATATTTCACAAGAATCATTCAAAATGGTACAAGGAGTAGTACTATTTCACGATTCAGTCATAAGAAACGGCTCAATTCATATAAAAACCTGACTAATGTGCGATTCCAAATCATGCCCTGATTTGCCCTAATTCGAACACCGCCACTACACAAACCCATCAATTTGAGACCTAATTCCTCAATTTTACAAAATCCCTAATCAAAATCCCTGGAATTCGCACCTCAAATCCTCTAATTTCTCCGATTCCCCCGTCAATACAACAGAACACGAATCACCCAACACAAATCGGAACCAAAAACACGAAAATCTTTACCAGATATTTCCAATTCACCGCTAAAAAACTAAGAGGGTAAACACATACCGACAGATGAAGACGCGATAGCGGAACCACAACCAAAGGTCTTGAAACGAGCATCTGTTATTTGACCGGTCTTCTCATCGACCTTGATCTGAAGCTTCATAACATCACCGCAGGCAGGAGCTCCGACTAGACCCGTACCGACGGTAGGATCATTCTTATCGAAAGATCCGACGTTACGGGGATTATCGTAGTGGTCGATGACGTTCTCATGGTAGAGTCGGGAGATACCAACAGACCACGGCGTTGATTGACGTGACGTAAGCCCTAGAGCCTTCTTCGCAGCTTGCCTGAGCATCATTTTCGTCGATTAGGGTTTTCGAATAGTTGCTCCTGGGAAAATGGAATGAGATCGAAATCGAGGGTTTCCTTTAAGGGGCTATGAGAAGGCGGTTTTGGTTCAGAGATAAGCGAGGTGACACGTGGACGGTTTAGATGGTTCTGTGATATTTGCTCTTTCTTTTAGCTAACTTTAGACGCTAATTAAGTTGAGATGACTTTTTCTTTTCCAATTCTGGTTATACTCTACACTACTTGGAGAGATGTGTGATTGATATTGTCATTCATAATTTTTCTAGGTTAAAAATTTTAATCGGAACTT